CATTCTGCACCAGCAGCCCCACCTGGGAGACACACAGGGGCCATTCTGCACCAGAATGGAGTTTAGTCAGGACCCCCAGATTTAACACCTCCACCCTACCAACAGTGTCTCGGGATCTTTAATAACCAAACAGTCATGACCTTGTTTCAACATCTCACCCAAACAACAAGCGTTCTCTCATTACTTTCCTTTCTCATAAAGTCAAATTTAAGAATCTGACAAGAAAAACCTATACAGTATTTTAAGTCCTCACTCTCTGCATTCCCTTCTGGTTTCAGCGTTATGTGGATGGAGGAATAAGCAATAACCTGCCCCAGTATGAACTGAAGAACACCATCACCATCTCCCCTTTCTCTGGAGAGAGTGACATCTGCCCCAGGGATAACTCCACCAACTTCCATGAGCTGCGGGTCACCAACACCAGCATCCAGTTCAGCCTGGACAACCTGTACAGGCTGACCAGAGCGCTCTTCCCCCCTGAGCCCAAGGTCAGCACTCTTTAACAACACTAGACATGTCACAGACAAGGAGAGGCCATTGGGCTAATCCAGATTGTCAGGTCACTAGTTGCTAACTGATGCAAGGATCTGGTTCAGTAGTCAGTTTCTTGGAAGAGGCTGGGGTATTGGCTTCAACAACATGGCTGGGTAGCTTGTTCCCGACTCCCACCACCCCTTCGTGCAGAGAACTGCCTGCACGTGGTTCCAGCAGCCATTGTTATCTTAGATAACGATGACTAGTTTCCCTAGAAGACACATTTCTTGGAAGTCCTGCAATATCTGTTTAGACATTAAATTGTGCCTGTCTTTTTCTGTAGCTATTATTTTCAATATGCAGCAAAATGTCTTTTTTTCACAGGTTCTACTTTTGCAGTTTCACCTATTTAAGCAAATTATATTGTGTATAAACGAAAATATATATTTTTTTTAATTGGCATATTCACTGGCTGCACAGCATCTTCGTCTGCAATACCAGACCTGCATCGGTCTCTGTAGTAGAGGCCCAGCTCGGTTAGCAAAGAGTTAACATGTACAGAAGTGCGTCATGGGTTGCGCTGTTATTCAGCGTCCTACAGGTGCCCTCTGTGCAGACCTGTTATGAGAGTAACACCCTGCATGTGAGAGTTATGCTGCGAAATAAAAGAAACTTCAATTAGAAGAAACCCTCAGTTATCACAGCTCCAGTTCCCACGTGTCTCACGGAAAACCAAATGAAAAGCAGAAGGAGAATTATACACACAGCAGGAGCAGATTTCACTGAATGGACTGACTTTAGCCTGTCTAAACCGAATCCTCTATTGCAAGAGACACAGCTGGATGTTTGTAAATTTCTGAAAATGACGTTTCTTATCTCTGCTGTGGGGAATTCTGGCTGGAGCCCAGGAGGAGTGGAGGGCGCCAAGAGGCTTATTTTAGAAGAATCTGAGTTCTCTTTTAGGGCCGCTGTGGCAGAGGGCAGACTGACACAGCCAGCTCATTCTGCACATTCAGTACCGTGAAGGCAAGGAGGGCTCTGACCCCTGACCTGCCCCCACCGGAGTTCAGTGTCTTCCAGTTCGGAGCTGCGTTGTCTGGCTCATGACATTGTCACATAAATCGAGACGACCCACCCCACCCCTCAGCCTGTTCATGTGGCTCGTGTCCATCAGACCCGCTGCTCTCAGGATGATCGGCCCAGCGATCCCTGAGAGCCAGGCTCAGTCCTAGGTTATCGCCTTGTCATAGCGGCTTGATTTCTGTATTCCAGATCTTGGCTGAAATGTGTCAGAGTGGATACAAGGATGCACTTCGATTCCTGAAAGAGAACAGTAAGCTCTTCCCTACTTACAAAAACGCCGGAAAATCGGATTTCTTTGTTTTACTTCTGAAGTGCAGCGCAGGCTCGTTTGTGGTGCATCCTGGGTTGTGGTGCATCCCCCGGTGCATCCTGGGTTCTTTTAAATGTGCTGTAGCTCGGAGCTGCTCCGCGGCACGGGAGGCCTGCGTGTGGAAATGGGGTGTTCTGGGATAGCGGAGGCCGTGTGTGAGGGTGTGTGCGCCCCCCAGTCTGGCTTCTGTGCGTGAACTGTCATCCCAGGGAGATCAGAAGGCCGGGGGGGTCGTCTCAGGCCGGCAGCTTAGTCACACGTGCGAGATGACCAAAAGC